TCTTCAAACTCTAGGGTTCTATCTTTCATTCTTTCATTGTTTTCCATCTAGTTTCACCATGTCTATGGTGAACTAAACCTTCAATATTGTTGGGGAACCGATGTAATCCTTTGAAACTCTCATGTATTGAATTGGTTCTATATTCTATATGCTTTCTTTCATTAATTGTTAGGGTTTGTCTTCTATACTCTATGCATGCTTTGTTTAACTCATTCAATTGCATGATCATTGATGTTATTTGTATGGACACATATAAGTATATCTAGAACTGAGGAAATTCTCCCAAGAGCAATATTACCTAAACATAGGGATAGGAGGATTGGTTGCCTTTAAGCTTATGTGCGAATGTAATGCATGAATAATTGCTAGGGAGACAAGACATTGTAAACTAGTGATTAGGAGTAGGCTTTCTTCCCCGAGACATTGGATTTAAGGTAAATTAGAAAGTGGCATTAACATTAATGAAGAAAGATGAATTCTTGAATACATGAGAGTGGATAGGATGAATCGGAAACCCCAACAACATCATCATTCCATATTTTACATCAATCACTTTTGCTTCTTTCGATCCAATTGATCAACACATGCATTCATATTTACTTTTCAGTATTTGCATCTAAACCTACAAGATTTCGTTTACAAGTCTAACTTAATCAACAAATCACAAAATTATTTAGGCTGTGAGTCCTTTGGGAAACGATACTTGGTCTTACCATTTTATTATTACTTGATACGTATCGGTACACTTGCCGAGTGTTAACAATAACCACCCGAGGTGTATAACCCTCCATATTTGACTTAATTCTGACCTTTCATATCACACCTTTTTGGAAAAAGAGCTACTACGTTGTCAAAAAGAACCGAGGCACATAACGCTACAAAAAGCATAAAGTAAAATGCAGCGTCTGACACCTTTTTGGTCAGGTGCTACTACCTCAGTTGCTTGGGGATCCAAGGCATATAGTGTCAAATATTTTGAATACTGAAACCTTTAGGTATCGGGTTCACAAAAAACTGAAGTAGTAGCTCTTTCTAGGACTTTTACGTTTCTGCGTGAACAATTTTCTTCTTCGTCTGCACTTTGCTCTCAACCACCACTTCTCAGTCTCTACCACTGCTAGCGCCTCCCTCGCCGTGTCTCCACCGCCACGTTCGTCGTGCCTCTCTCGCCGCGTCTCCACCGCCACGTTCGTTGTGCCTCTGTCGCCGTGGTTGCCCCTCCTCTGTTGCGCCCCGACACCACTGCTCGTGTTCTCCACCACTGCTCGCGTTCTCCAGCACTTCTCGTGTTCTCCATCACTGTAGATTGGTTTATTTAAATAAATGTGTCTGACTTTAGCAATTGCGTGGTGGTGAGGCGTTGTCCGATGACATTTGGTATAGTGAAGGTAGTGTCTTGGGCTTTCGGTCTTTTCGATGATGGCGCTCCTACTGACCCTGGCGGTGGCCATGGAGATCTCGCCCACCCAACAGTTTTCGTTGTCAAAGACATCGACTTACTGGTAGGGCGTGAAGGAGGAAGCAGCGATGAAAACGCGGCGCGACGGCTCCGAGTAGAGGAGATCGAGGAGCTGTGATTCTCTCCGACGAGATTAGGCGACGAGTTTCCTACTATAGCAGCACCTTCTCTAAGGTCGCCAGCGAGGGAGTCCAGAGTTATCAGCGCCCGCACAGGCAAGATGCTTCATTGACGCGACCACCTTCAACAACATCCATGGCAGCGGTTTTAGTCAGGAGCTATCACGCTGATGGCAATACTCGCCGGCGACGTAGGTAAGGTAATAGGTTTGAGGGTGTTTTGGGTTTCTATGTTCTACATGTTTCGCTTCACACGCAATCTTCTTCTTCTTCTGGAATATCAATTTAGGGTTTCCTGAATTTTGGGGTCTCTCTTTGTCGATGAGAACATCCTTCGTGAATAAGAAATATTCCATGTCTGGTGTGAGTGGTTTTTGGCTTTTACTACAGGTGGTTAGATGATTGATGGAGGCATTGCGTGAAAAGGATGATGAACTGGGTTCTTGGCTAGGTGTTTTTGCAAGTCTGGAAATTTCTGGTGATGGACGAAGAAGATGGTGGTTCGCAAATTGGGTGGCAGCGAAGGACGAAGGTGGTCTATGGTGGTGTTTTGGGTGGTCCGATACAAGAAAGACGAACTTGCAATGGTAGATCATGGTGGTGCATGGTCGTGTTGACGGCGTGTGGAGTGGAAGATAATTCAAACTGAACAAAGGTGCAAATATGGCGATCTCGTGGTGGTCGACGGCGTCCTGATGGCGAAAAAAGGAAGACCATACTACATTGGTTCAGAGGGAACCGAGGCATAAAGTCCTACGGAAAAAAAATAAAAAAAAAAGCCTTACTGCTTCAGTTAACTTTGAACCGAGGCAAAAGCCTACCATTTTATGCCTCGGTTCAAAACCGAGGCATAAAAGGGTAGACTTTTTTGCCTCGCTTGTATATGTCTCGGTTCAGGAACCATTGCCTATGGACGAAAATAACCGATGTCATTTCCGCTGACTGCACTAGTGTCAGCACCAACTATAAGCATATGTAGTCGATTGGTTGGTACCTTAGCATGTTAAAAAAATATAAAAAAAATTGATAACTTATTATTTGGTTTTACCTAGAACTCCGTGATCTACTACATCAGATTTATATAAAAAGGGTTAAATATGTTTTTAGTCCCTAAACTATCAAGCGAAATTGTTTTTAGCCCCTCTTTTAAACTAAGCTACATTTTGGTCCTCCTCCTTAAGGAAACTTTAATTTTTCGTCCTCCAAAACCAACAAAGTTAAAAATCAGCTGAGGTGGCTAACGGTGATGTGTCACGTTATTTTTTTTTCTGGGTCAATCTCCCTCCCTCTCCATCTCTCTCCCTCCGTTTTCTCACTCCTACTCGCTTTGCTGAGTCTTCTTCTGACTTAGTCCAATTCGGCACCACAAGCTAGAGAAAAACCGGCCACCCTCAGTGGCACCACGACGCCTTCCACGACGTCCACGACAACGTCCGATCCGACGTCCGTCGCATGCTCCATTCTCGCGCCGAGGTCATTTTTTTTTTGTCAAATGAAAATCAACGTCAACGTCCAATTAATTGATTTGTAATGCACGAGTTTGTGGTTTGCGTAGGTTTTGTTTCAAGTTCCGCTCGAAGTGAACATGGTTCTAATTTGTTTCAACGGAGACAGAGGTTACAGATACAACATCGACGCGCATCAATTTGAACAGTTTCTCAAAAATAGCTTTCCAGCTCACAGACCTTCGTGTCTGGTGACTGGAGAGCTACTTGATATTGAGCATCACATGGTCTATAATGCATTTCATGTAAGCCACATTTATATTCCTTGTATTCTATTTAGGCTCATTGTTGCTTCATTATCCCTATTTTCTTGGTGATTGAATTTTATTGAAAGTGAAATTGCAGCTCCCAAGCTTTATCGTGGTGGCTACTGTTTAACTGTGTACATATTTTTATATTGGAGAAAAAATAGTCATGATTGGATTCCCATAGGAAGGTCGAGAGAGGAAGAAACATTGAGCTTTTGTTTAGATGACCTTAAATACCCTTATAAATAAAGACTAGTCGGCTTTGTTTGAGAATCAAACTGTACTTTAGAAATCTTATGGATCGATTAGACTGTTATATTTTGGTATTGTTGTTGAAGCATATTTTATAGTTGGACATCTTGTTTCATGTTATTATCTGTTTCTTTGTACAGGTACAAACTGCTAGATATGAACACTAATAATTTAAAATCTAATTTTCACTGTAGGCTGGGCAGCCTAAACTTATAGCACTTGAGAAAGCACTAAAAGAAGCAATGGTTCCTACAGGAAAAACAAGAGAGGTAATTTTGTGGTCCTTTCTTTTTCTTTGCCACTTTCTTTTGTTTTATTCTATATGGCACTTGCTAAAGCTTACCACAACTTGTAGACTGAGTTTGGAAGAGAGGTACCTTTGTTTTAAATTGAATTCCTTCGAGTCGTGCAAGCCCCCTCCTACGACGAAATCCGCTCCATCATCCAAGCCCTTCCGCCGATCCACCACCCCAGCAACAAAGAGTCACACCACTGCTACGTCTTATCTCACCTCCTCTAACCTGACTCCAACAGTGTTCGTGAAGCCCTCGCCAAGTCCAAACCTACCAGTAAACTCACGCGTCTCGCCTACTTCGACCACAGCGAAACCACCTCTGACTTTTGTCTCTGCCTCCTCCTTACCATCCTCCGCGACCTTCGCAGGTGCCACTCTCAAATCTGTATATTTCACCACACCACCGCTGGGTGAGCCGTTATTTCTGTCACTGTAATTACCGCTTCGTGATCTTCGCGGACGTTGTGGAAGGCGCCGTGGTGCCAATGAGGGTGGCCGGTTTATCTCTTGAAGGCTTGCGGCGTCGAATTGGACTGAGTCAGGAGAAGACTCAGCAAAGCGAGTAGGAGTGAGAAAACAAAGGGAGAGGGAGGGAGATAGACCAATGTCAGAAAAAAAATTGACGTGACACACCACCGATATCCACTTCAAGTGATTTATTGTCGTTAGTTTTGGAAGACGAAAAATTAAGATTTCCTTAAAAAGAATGGCCAAAATGTAGCTTAGTTTGAAAGAGGAACTAAAAACAAATTCGCTTGATAATTTAGGAACTAAAAATGTATTTAACCCATATAAAAATGATATAACAACTTACATTTATGAATGAATTCAATAATTTTTTTATTGAAAAAGCCATTTTAATTTTAATTTATTTTACTCTATTTTTAATTGATTTCTTTTATAAATTTTTTAGAAAATTAAAGTTCATCACATAAAAATTATTTAAAGTTAAAAAAAAAAAAATCACCGTCCCATGTTATTTACCGTGGTAAAGAAAAATGGAGTTTGCTTACATGTATAATTTGACACGGAAATCTGCTCAGATTGCGCAAAAAAGTAAAAGAGAAAGGGAACAAAATAGGTAATGATTAAGGACTAAAACCCCACCCCACTCCTGCTTCCACTCATTTTCTGTGTGCTGTGTGCTGCTTCTGCCTATTTAAAATTGGCACATAATTTGGAAAGAGAAGACAGGCAGTGATGGAAACTGCAGCGCTGCACTTTCTTTACTATTTGTTCATAGCAGTTTGTTGGTGCAGTGGTAACATACTGCAGGCAATTGAATTACCCAAGTACACACTAATACTCTCCGAATCAGATTTTCAGATTAGACTCTACGATGAATCCACATGGCTATCATCCCGTGTTTCTGGAACTTCCTTCGACCAGTCCTACAGAATTGGATTTCAGAGGTTTTATCTTTTATTTCCCATTTCACAAATTCCATTGCTTTATTAATTCTACTCTGCATCTTAAAATCTCTTTTTGTTGATGTTTTTTTTTTTCTGCAAAACATGTGCAAGAGTATTTGCTTTCACCGCATCTTCACTCTTCTCCTTCCTTTTCAGATTAACTTTCATTCAAAAATAGATTTTGTGTACGTATGCTGCTGATAATGATGTGCTGATGGCTATAATAACATAATCCTTTTGTTAATAAGTGATTGTAAATGATGCACCAGGTTATACCAGTATATCCATGGCGCGAATTCAAATTCTTCAAAAATTGCATTTACTGCTCCAGCCTTAACGAGTGTGCCGTCTTCATCGTCACCCTCTGGGAATGCCTATATTGTAAGAATATTCATATCAACTCGCTTTCATGGGACACCTCCGCTGCCCAATCCTGAACTGAAGCTGCGGATAGAGAAGTGGAAAAGTCAGTGCGTAGCAGTTAGGAAGTTCAGTGGGTATGCGAATGATGATAATATTAACAAAGAAATCGAAGCTCTTGTAACTACCCTAAACAAGCAATCCATAACAATACAAGATACCAACTCCTATATCATTGCCAACTACAATGCTTCCTCTCATAATACTACTCAACGCTTAAATGAAGTGTGGATAAATGTGTCGGGAATTGGGACGCAGTGCTGACTGTTGTTCTTCGTTGAATTGCAGTATCTTTTTTTTTTGTCATTGTGCTTGGAATGCAGTGGCGGACCTATGTGTACACCTAAAATTATTATTAAGTATCTGAAAAAAGTTAATTTTACCCTCTAATTTTATATATTTGACTTGTCTCACTGATTTCAGGTCTTAGATCCGCCAGTGTTGAAATGGCTTGTCTCAATGATATCATGTGTGAAATGTCTTACTGTTTCGGCGTTTGAGGAGGGTTTAATGTAGATAAAAGTAAATTATAAAACATTTGATGGTTTACTTAGTATATAGAAATAGTTCCTATTGAATGGTTTAGGATAAGAATTATTTGTTACTAATTTCTGTTTAGCCAGCATTTGGATGATGCTAAATAATTATTTGAATTCATTCAGATAACCACCATAATTCAATTCTCTGAATGGGATCATTCTATGTCGCTTGTATTTTGAACAGTTTATTTTGTCCAATTCACATTTTATAACAAATTAGCCTAAAATAGTTATGGCCCAAGTTTGAAGTGAAAAATCTATTGCCAAAACAATGTCAAGGTAAAGATGTCGTTATGGGAGATAATGTTGGAAGGAGAAGCATTTTCAGCTTGTCTAACATCCGCACAACGCGCTTATAATAAAAACTAATACATATTATCAAGGTCAGGTGGTGAGGTTTTAGCAGAAGATTTTGAAAAACAAAAATACTGCTAACGAGTTTTGGAAAATATCTCGAAATTCAATAGTCTTTGATAGAAGAAACAATTACAGACTATGAACATGTGTGGCAATGAGTCAACCATTAACACATTGATAACTTCAAATGATGTGGACTAAGTTGTTTTAATTTTTTTTTTTCATTTTCAAGTGCTTATGCCAGTAGCTAAGACAATGAGATGGATGGAGGTACAGATCTTAAGAATAATAGTATAATTTTGCATGCACAAAAACCTGTGAACACATCTCTTTGCTGACGAAGTGAAAATAATTACTATTTCACTTGGTTGTCATAGCTTTAAAGAATCTGCGATTTCGCAATTATTCTCTTTAAAGAATAAGAATATGGAAATGTTTTTCGCCATGCCAAAAATGCTCATAATGCTCACTTTCTCTTTTTGGTATTCAGCCTTCACAGGTAAAAAGAAAAATTAACTTCTAAAGAAGCATGATCATAGAAGAATAAAGAGATATGAAAGAGGATAGAGGAGGAAGAGATAGAAAAACAGAGGTCAAGAAAAGATAAGATGTCCTGAAAGCCAACCTTCAGGTTGTCCCTAAAAGGGAGTCATTTCTTTTAAGATCGTCCTCGAAACTTCATATAGAGTGCTAGCATCAAATACAGTGAAACAAACAGTCGAACTATCGAATAGTATAGTAAAGTAATGATTTTAACTAATGCAGAATATAAAGAAGGTACTTCGAATATTATTAACCTGATCCCGGTCCATACACCCCTCAAGTAAAAACACAAACTTGATTTAGAAGTAGCTTTAGATATAATTTATGGTGAGGAAAAAGAAAGCTATTTAAATTTTTCTTAATTTACATTATTCTATGTTTATACACTTATAAATTATTCCTTAAAATTGAATATATCACGTGTATTAAATCTATGAAGCCAATTTTTGTAATCCGCATGTTTAAATGTTGAACTGGCAGATGGTGGCATGGGCACATTTGAAACGCCATATTGCACGGGGATGAAGAAAGTAGAGGTAGATGGGTTTAGATGATATGGGTGGTAGAAGTCTACATTTGTGGTCTGGTCTGGACAACATAGAGTTTTCCATCCTTTATGACACCTTCAATGTCCTGAGGAGAGCCATATAACCCTTCAATTTCATTTCCTGCGCGGGCGATGCTTGACAAGATTGACTGGCGAAAATTTCCATCAAGGATCAGTTGGTCAGATGAGTAATCAAGCACCACCGCCTCCTCTTCATCCATTGGCACACTGTTCAGAAGGGAAATTCAGTAAATCAATGTCAGAAAGCATGAAATGGAATTGGAAATAATTACTTCAAGGGGTTCACAGGACAAATCTAATCTCCCAAATATCAATGCACGTACTAATTTCTTATATCCTAAGGGTTGGCATTATTTATGAAAACAGAAAGACCAGAAAATGAGATACATTAATCAGTATAGCCAATTATACTCTCTTATCCATACACATATCATTTGCTAGCCAGGCAAGTTATGTAAAGCTAGACAAATTCCATGTTCAATTGAAAATGACTTGTGTACATTGGATATAATTCTTGCCGCAATTTCATACCACAAGGGGAAAACAGTTAAAATGATTGGCATGGCGTTAAGATAATAAAACATGGATACAGTTCAATGCCATCATTTCATTAGCTATGACCCTGTTTCATAGAATAAAATTAAAAGGTAAATAAATTAAGTTATTCTAAAAGTTCAATTTTTTTTATCAGGAAAAAGATTAATTTTATCTTATGCCCAAGTTAATTTTAACTGACAAGGTTAATTCGTTCTACTTTCTCATAAAAGTTAATCCAAACAAAGTTTATAAGGAAGACGATCATCGATGAAGAGTTGTCAAAGTTCACCTGTCATAAAGACCTGCACCAGCATAACCTTCTAGGTCTTCACCATTGGAATCAGATCGAAAAATAATTGACCGTCTTATAAATAGGCCAACAGGTTTGCTAGGATAACCCATGATCTAAGGAAGCCCAAAAAATTAGCAAAATAAGAAAAAACTCCGAAAACAAATGCCGTACTGGTAAAGATAAATTCATATGTTCATTATGATGTTCTTATATTTGACATAATCAATAAAAGAATGATAACTTGGGTATTAACCATACAAAATACTACAAAAATAAAACGATCTTGCAGAAGTACCTGAGGAGAGTTCAAATCACTCTTTTTGCAGACAAAACTCAAAGCACGACCTGGATAAGCTCCAACTAGTGTTTCTCCAAGTCCCTTTACCACCTATATCAAAACAGTACCACAGTTAAAATAGCTTCTTTCCCATATCGATCCAATAGTGAATACGTTTCCTTAAATGGGCGGAAGAATAGGGGAAAACATGACATCATTATACATACCTCAGCATATATCTCTGACGAATCCCCAGAGGACGGATTAGTCGTGTGGATGACAAAAGCATAATCAGCATTTACCACTTCCTGAACAAGGACAGCCATGGAAAGATACTCGTGGTCCAATTTAACTTTTCGTGTGCTGAAGTATGCCCTTTCATTCCACTTGGAGCCCCACACCTTTTTAATGAATCAAACAAATAAATGATATTGATTCGTGACCACTAAAATAGTACTATACACAAATATGAAGATTTTTTCACTAAAATTCGAAATAGATCTAATCTACATATCTAACATGTATATGTAGGAATATATTTATTTTGACTGTACATTGCAAGCATGTGCAGGTGCAACAACTTGGGGAGATTTTCAAAAATAAAGGACAAACAAGGAAAATCGGTGGATAGTAGACTGTGAATAAATTTTTAACCCACACAATGCATCCTATTAAGTATTTCTATATCCTGAATATCCAGGAGCCAACAAATTCATGATTGAGAAAAAAAAAACATAAAAAGATAACGTTAAATGATTAAGGGGAAAAGCATAGAACATATGTTTTCCAGAAGGCATCATTTGCAGAGTATGTGATAGAGAACTTAAATATTGGTCTCCAATAACATCTGAAAAATATTTCAAATTTATGTTGACCATAGTAAAAATGGGCAGTGGTAAAATACAAAAAAAAATAAGTCTCTTGAATAAGATATATCAAACCTAGTTCATGCAAACAAGGAGAGAAGTCTTAACCTTTTTTATAGCCTTCCAAGCTTGTTCCCATCGCTGTTCACCTTCATCACCCGGCCAAGGCATTCCAGAACTCTTCATTTTAGTTTTCAACTCCTCAACCTGAATATAGTTAATGTATAAATTCATTGGCTTCATCGATAAGACTCCACATCATTTACATGAAATAGTTCAAAAACTGCAGGATAGCCGAAGAACTTTAGACTAGATATCAACTTTTGGTATTCCACCAGGATTAACAGTAATATTTGCAAAATGAGAGATTTGCAAGAAATATTTGGAAGGGGTGAGAGGGGTATATGGGGTGTCATAACAGAAAAATTTAGACTCATGTTCATTAGAATGATTGTCGGAACCTCAATTCAAGTCCAGCTACTAGAGAGGGATAATTTAAAACTTAATTAAGCAGTTTTCTTCAACCAGTCAAGTACATAATAAATAGGGACCAATAATTGTACAGTTTGACATACAAGAAATACCAAAATGCTACACTAGATTACACGGAAACCCTGTGTAATATTAACATATCATATAACCATCAAGACCAAACCTTGTCCTGTTAAGTGGTGTTAGTTACATAAATCAAATCATGCCACTAGGCTCTATATTCAGAGTAGTGGCCTTTTAATAGTAAAAGCAACAATAAGAATCAAGATAAATAAATGTTTATTGTATCATGTAAAAGTTAAGCCAGTACTAAAAGAAACATACCAACGGGGGTGGTGCATTCAACTCTAAAACTGTTTCGCGAATCTCCTTGAGAACACTGAAGTCCCCCTCAATTAGCTTCTTTTTCAAAATATTGACCCTCTCAGCCACTGCCTGTTGGTTAATATGCAGTCCAAGATTTCATTAGACTACAGGAAAGGCTAGCATAAAGTAAATGAAAAATGAGATAAGTCATAGATGTCAACCATGAAGGTAAACAATCTTTTAAAGTATAAGATTTTGCCTCAATTTTACTCCTAGGTTAAAAACAACCACTAATGCAACATGAAGTGGGGGAAATCCATTTTTTAAAGGGTAGTGCACTTGAAATGTATTAAGGTTCAGTTATTATAAATTGTTATGAAAATTCAATTTAGCACCTTAAAAGTTCACAGTCAAATATATGCACTCCTTAAGATTTAAGTTACCAACCTTTTTAAATACAAATTGAAAACTGCAATGGATCGAATACAATAGGTTTAGCAATTCAAAAAGCCAAAATCAGAAGCCAATGTGTGTGTATTCCAAATTCCAATTCAAATTACTAAAAGATCACACTAGTTGATATACATGGAAAATCCACGATAATCACAAAATACTTCATTAAGCAACATGAAAAATATGGACAAAAAAGATAATATATAGAACCTGATTTGATTTATCAGAAAGAACATGTTCAAAAACTCCAAATGGTATGGCAACTGAGGTAGGAATTCCAATCCAAGAAGCTAC